GTGTGATGGATTCCTGGATAGGTCAACTGCGACGAATCTTGTCAAATAGCTTAACCTGCGTTTGTGGACGTTTCGACGGTAATTAAGGTAACCTACGTGGTGCAACTTGCAACGCATTGTTTTGCTTTAGTGCTATCTTGTCTTATTGTCGGCCCCAGTTCAATTTTCTAACTCACTGCTCCTGACTGATTCACTATGTTTAGTGCAATTTATGATAGTAAAGTTCGAGTTTCAGCAAGGTCCGTGTGATTTTCCAGACTCAACACTTTTTGAGATGGCGAGATTTCAGCATCTGAGTAAACGTAGGATGTCTAACAGGTGGATCAGAGATCTGGCCGTTTCGCGGTGAAGGCATTAAACGCTTGGCCATGTTTGACCACGGGGAGTTGCGGGGTATTGCTCACGTCTGGTGGGAATATTGGGGGTCAACGCTGAAATCCGCCAGTTGGTTTTTGACACAACACCTGGTGCCTCATTCGAAGATTTGCTGAATCTTTATCGCTTACGTTGGTTAGGTTGTCTTCAGTATGCATGTTGATCAGCTTTCTCGGCGTGCATTGTGCGCCGTGCCTGCATCAAGTTGGGCGAATTCGCAAGGTGGCCAGTCTATGATGTGGCATAGAGGCATGAAGAAATTGATTGAGAGACATGGCCAGACTAGTGCATACCGTCTTCATGGATGGGGGCCTCATGATGGTCTACACCAATGGTTGGAGACCGTGTCGGACCTGGCGCAGTCACACAGGCAGTGGTATCTGGTCGTTAATTTTTGTCCTATGCTAATTTGTCTAACGCACTTCTTTCTTGCTTCAATTTTCTTCACATACCACTTGCATTCAGCCCCACTAGCTTGCCGTTGCTGTTTATTGTCCTTCTTGCGATGTGAGTCGTGGCAACTGGATCCATCGCACTTCGGCGCTCAAATCATAGTTGTTCAACTAACATGCGCTGAGAACCATTGTGACTGGTATTTCCCTGCGAAACGCTAAGTGGTTGAGTCCGACGGCTATTCGGGGGGGGGGGGGCAAATTCATCGATGGGAGCAGTTGTCCGCCGTTAAGAAATCTGGTCATAAAGGACTTGAATATTATAGGAGATTATAGTTATCTTAGTGGTGTGTTTTTTCAGTTGTTGTGGTGTTCTCCGAGCTGGGCAACTTGATTGCAAACGTTTCGCCACCATTCGAGGTGGCATCTTCAGTGCAGGATTGGTAGCAGTCAAATAGCGGGAGTTGGTAGAAAGCAAACCCATTGATGACGTGTTTTTGTGATGTCAGTGTGGTAGCAGCAGCGAGATAGCGTGCAAATGCGCTTCCATGCTTCCTTAGTTGGCGAGACACTACTCGCTTGCCTTCGTCGAAGTAGGTAGGTTGTCTTAGCATACCATACCTCGTGATTTTGTAAGATTTGTGGATTGCGATAATCCATACCTGGTGCCCGACAATCCTGACATCAGAAGCAAAACCCGGTGTTCGAGTTGCTTGCCGATGTAAAGTGTCTCCCATCCCTGCACTCCACGACACATTTCTTCCTTGATTCATGAAGTAGAGACAGCCTAAGTTGGAAGTTTAAATCAACACATATTTTTTGGCTGCTGTCACTATGGTATCTCGGCCATTGAGCTCCGCGAGCGCGCTTCACACACTGTTAGGAGTGGATTTTCATGTTTTAGGGCAATCATCGTGTCTTGGATTGCGAAACATAATCTCAATTATGGTCTCGGTAGACTTCGAAGTCAGCCTCTACCAACCCGATCACTTGGACGGTATCCGAAGTGGAGCGTTTCGGTGTTGCTATCTTGCATCTCTGCGCTCCGCGACGCGTTTTATCCTTGTTTGGACTCATCAGTTAGAGGTAGCCTGAACTGGGAATGGAGCTCGGCAGATAGTGGTTGGGGGCTATCATCTTGATCACTAAGCCATTAACTTCCGCGAACAGCGCTTAACCGCGGAAGTAATTAAGTGACTTAATTTTCGTGGAGGAGGCAAGTTGACTCTTGGACGAAACGATCCTGGAAACGATCTGGAGAGAGTTTGTCTGAATCATGGGATTTGCCGCACTTCAAGTGGCGAATCTAATCAGCGGCCTCAGTTTCCTGTAATAATGTAGCATCTACACACCAGGAAGTACTGCTTTTCTGAATGGGAACTCACCGATGTAGCTAGCCAGTTAAAATACTGTTCGAAATGCTCAGCCCAACGCACAAGTCGGTGTTTTTATTGTGGATTGGCTCACCATTGATTCTATACCAAACTTAGCTTGCAATTTGCTTTTTACCACCAGTCGGTCGCACCAGGAGTAAAAGCATAAAGAGATTCTCTGTGGTAGACGCTTGCTCCATCTCGATCGCCCGCCACTTTTGCCAGGCTTCCGATTCTCCCGCAGGTGTTGCTTGAGTTCAGCGTTAGTAATCTTGCGTAATATGTGATACCCAGCGCTGTAGGAAATGCTTGACGAGTTTCAAGACGCGGACTATCTCGTGCAAAGACCCATTGTTTGATAGGACTACTAGGGGAACGATAGGTCATGGTTGCCGAGTTGTGCATGGCGCTATGAATGTGCGCCCAGTTATTCTCAGTGAGCACTAGGTATTCTTGAGATCAGAGGCTGACGCATCCTTCAGCATTTCTTTCGGCGCTGATGGATTCCACGGAATTTCAGGGCAATTTTATCTAACATGAGCACATGATCCGAATTGTGGTAGGTGCTCCCGATTGGTGCACAGTCTTGTTTACAGCCTCACCAGTGTTAACTGATTGCAATATGGTCCACGTCCACGACTGACCGAATGATGGGGTCTTCATGTGACGCTTTTGCACGAAGATCACTGAAAGCTCGCACTCGACAAAAGTCGGCCGTGATCGGCACAAAGCTGAAGTAGATCGTCGTTGTCTCTCCTGCGAATGCCATAATCATGTTGATCACCGAGTTCACGGTCGTCTACTGACCTGCACGTTTACGTCTCCGGCAGGCATCACGATATCCGCACTGCTCTTTTTTGGAGATGTTTGGTGAATGGGCAGTGAAATTCTTCCTTAACTGACTCCGCGTTGCTATATGTGAGCGAATACGCTGTTACAGCAGGCATAGTGTATGTGCTAGGTTAGCAGCTAGACGATCTTGCTGACGTTTCTATTCGGATTGCACGGATTTGATTGTTAGTAGTCATGTAGCGTAGTAGCGCAGTTTTAGCACTTGAGCTGAACGCAATCCCCGCGCCGGTATGACCAGCGGCTTCGATAATTGGGTTCCCAGATAAGCACAATGTGAAAATATCTACAGAACTAGCAAATGATGAAGCCAGTCACAGGTTTGAACTAACGGATTGTAAACCGGTCTCAGCAAGACAATAAATATGAATAGCAAAAGTTTATCAGTTGCAAGCATTGGCTGCCTGGACGGTGATTTGCATTAGCGCCCGAACCCTAAAGGTCGCCAACTGGAATTCGAACTGAAACGTCGAAAAGGCTTGCTGATTAGACTGGACGGTTCATTGTCGGATCTATGCTCCTAACTCGTGCGGCCAAAACACCCACTTGAGGCGGCATAATGTTGTGGACTAGGGAACAACGGGTGTTTCCCTGGGCTGAGGTTCGATTACCTCACGTCGACGATGGTTAGCATTCCCAGAGAGCGGAGTGAGCGAATAGCAAATATTTGAAACGTGGCCATAGGCTGTGCGTGCTTGGTAATTCCTGGTTGCTCAGATCAACGACTAGTGCTGTCTTAACCCACTCAGACCATAGCTTTGGGTCATAAAGTCCCGTCACACAAAGCAGCGGGTTGATTAACTTATGTCGAAAAACCTTGGGAACCAGTTACCAAAGCGAAGCTAACACAGTTTTGGAGGAAGAGCAGTTCACTAAGCGCTTCCAAAAGCGCCGAACTCCATTAGGCATGATAGCCGCTGACAACCAGGTGACTTTCACGTATTCGCAATGTTCACACAGCAGCTGGTTTCAATCAAGTTTGATTATCCACCTTCTGGTCTCATAAGTGAGTGTTTAGTGATCCTGTACCGCACTCCATTGAGTTTGATACAGCGCCGCATTTAATGGGGACCAAGTGACCAACCTAGACTTCCCACACTCTAGGACGCTGCCGCTGATTGTTCGCAACTGCGTATTCATCTCCCATGCGAACTGTTTGTGGTAGTGGGTGCTCATTTTTGCTAAACTGACCAATGTCTTGCATGCAAACCGGAGTCCAATCAATCACGGTTGACGCAAATTGATCACCATGAGGAACAAAGCACAACTTTATCAGTTGCAACGGTGAAACGGATTGACTGGAATAACCGCGAGTGGAAGAAGTGTATGCGCTGGTCAGGTAGCGACGGGGAACATCCAAGGATAACTCGAGGCAGGCAACACATTCGGAACAGAAGTCATTTGAAGCGAGCAGTGCTTATGAGTCAGTGAAGACGGCCAGACCGCACAAGACTCAGAAAATTGGAAAGTAACCAATATCAAGACGTCGCGACCAAATATCGCCCCCACTTTTGTGCAGTATAAACTATTCTTTCCTTTACAAATAACATTTTGTTCGTTGCCCGAACTATTTTAGGGTTACGCGACATAGTCGAGACTTATTCATGTTTACCTTCACGAGGAAGGCGTTCTACGATCTGCAATTTGGGGGACACACGCGATAGATTATAGCTCCGCCGAAGCGAACAGTGGTCTTAAGCATAGACTCGTCAGATTATGGTTGTAGTTCTACTGCTATAGTAGTCAGACTGTGCGTTGAGAGACGCAACACCGAAACGCCTCCAAGTGAGGCAGAGTGCGCACTGATGCTGCTCCCTGCAAGGATGAAATGAAATAAAAAACATGTAAGGTTGCTCTAACTGAGCTTAGATGTAACGAATTCAAATTCTGGCATTTAGTTTCTCTTGCCATTTCTTCATAACTTTACGACTTTTGTTTCTAGCTTAATTGCACCTATTACTTTTCCGCCAACTTTAGATTAATCGTTACAGTGTAAATTATTACGCTTTAGCTCCGCCCCACCACACCTGTCAGTCTGATCAACACCAGTGTCGCTGTTCCAGTTCGCCAGCTCAACGTTGCCAGTCGCATGGTGGTCTCTTCAGTTAATTCAGGTGCTGGCTCTGCTGAGTCAGTCTCTCTCTCAGTTGCTGCACCAGGTTCTCTGTCCAATATTCGTCCCCATACCACTCGAACAACCGACGCAGTTATTCCAAACAATCTCACTCAATCTGGTGCTCACCTTACCCAGGCCCAGCGGTTCTCACAGCATCCTGTTGTTCATGGTGGCTTGATTGGCGGCGTTCCAGCTGTGATCCCCTCTAGTGCAGCAACCACGCAGCTGTTTCCACAGCACTCCCGAACTGTTGGATCCGCTACCATTCAGTCGGGTGCGACTCCTCAGTTAGCAGCCCTCCCTTCCGGCCTCACGGGTAAGCAAATCAAATCTTTACCATGCAAGTGGTTTTGATCTCACACCACCGTTTCATATATAATTGCGTTCTGTTTGGTGTAGATGTTCGCAAGTTTCAAGGTTAATAGGTTTTACAGTTTTCAACCATACCCTTACTTCATTCACCTACATTGATACTAAATACTAGTCTTAAATACTGACACTTCGCGCATCCGAGCAGCGATCTCAGGCTTCAGGAGGAATGTTTGCCCACCACATTCATTGATGCTCAATTGATAACTAACTAGACTCAATCCGTTCGACATGTAGTCTGCCGTGATTACAGCAGAGCCCCCCAAAGGACGCTTTACTTTTCGGTCCGTTGACGTCTGTACGCTGCTTTCGGGACCAAATCCTTTTGAGTTATAGCTAATTTGCTTTTCTGAACTAGATAGGCCCACGTCTGGCCTCTGCACCTCTTTGTTTATCTGTTTCCAAGTTATGACGTCCTCCAACCTACACCCTGGGTGTGATCATACATAACCTTATGCTTTGTCTTCGTTTCACATTGCTGCGTCTCAGTGTTCCGTGTCAAACTCTAAAATTCGGTGGTCTTCGTTTGAAGATCACATCATAATGGCTCCTCACAAGACACTTCCAGTAATCGGACATAACTGCGATGGCCAACATGCACCAATTCTGATTTACCATTGACACAGAATTATTATTCCTTTCTGTATTCATGTTTTGGGGCCTTGCGGTTCAACTTTTCACCGGTTTTAGACATATATATATATATATATATATATATATATATATATATTGCGAGAGTAAGTGTTTCTCGACTTAGCAATGCACAGCCCAAGTTTTTGGTTCGATCAGATTGTAAAAGGGCATTGTTCAATTAAATATAGTGATTCATATGATCTTTATTTGGCGAGAGTCGCATCATCTAACATGGTCAGTCAGCATAGTATCAATCGCATTTTTGCTGTTTTTTCGCGGAGATATTACGCAGCTTTATGCCAGTGACATACTGGCATATACTTTGCTTGCAGCCTAATCTGTTATTACAGCGGATTATTGGAGAACGAAGCGATTATGTCAATGGATAAATACCCCAGGATTACTGTATTGAAGCAAGACGCCAATCAGCCATGCCTGATCTAAGGCTTCTCCGCAATAATTGAACGCATTTTAGTGGAAGGTATGAGTCAACAAATAGTACAGTGCACACGTTTACCGATATACACGTGGAGAAGTCTACTGTGGTTGTCAATTTTAATAAATCTAAATTATTGTTCAGCAGCATATAGTGAGTAAAACCAGGTACGGGGAGCATTCATGTTAACTGATTCCTGGCATGTTCGAGATGGTAGTTACTTAGAACCGAACAGACTTGTGTTCCCATAAATCCTCAGTGTGCTTGCAAATGTTTTGAAATCCCTAGCTTAGATGGCACTCAAAAACGGGCCTTAGGAGACGCGAAACTAATTACCTGGTATACCAAAGTTTAACGGTTTTATTTTTCGCGCACATGCCTATCTGTGACAAAAGTGGCAATAGCTGTCATCGGAACGAGCGCTCTGTAAAATGATTGGAAAAGAACAGTATAACGGTCGTTTTGTAGAAGAGGATGAGTGCCTGGTTGGTATTACTTTACAGGCTGAGATAGTTGAGATAGATAGTCTTGAGGACTCAGTTTACCTTCCGTCGTCGCGGACTGATGTAGACAAAATAGCCGCGAGGTCGGTGTGGCCAAGTAAGGAAAGAATGTAACCTTGGTCTGATGAATAAAGAAGAGGACTCAGTTGAACACCCCTCTTCAGCTACTATATTGATGCGGGGACCTTACGGTTGACCGATTAATGAGAGAATGTGATAAACGTTGGAAATGTGGACATGGAAGGAGATTCGGTCTGTTTTCTTTTTTTAGCTTCTTTGTCAACACGTGAAGCTTTTTAATATGCGACCGAAAGGTATTACGGACATGGCATTATATGCCACTTAGTCTCTTCTGCTAGACCTTTGTTTCTACAGTATTAAACTTGAAGAATTCCATAGCTTTTAAAACTTTTATCTATCTGTAAACGGAACAAATGAGGTGATGTGTATGAGCTGATACACAGTGGGAGACAATTCCAGCTTAATGTGCGATTTTGAAACTGGCAGTGTGAAATTTTTATTACGGATAGTGTAGCGTTCTGTGTGTTGGAGTATCGAAGTGTATGAATATGCCCCTGAATTGCGTCGAAGTGTAGTGTTTTGTTTAGGTTTATTCTACGCAACCATATCGGGTCTAGCCTCAACAGTTTGCATCGTTCGCGATATATTGGTGAATAGAACCCAGGGTTTGTTTTGTGTAAGTACGCTGAACCCGCTGTAGTGCCGTATTGTCACTCTACCTTGCATTGCTGAATACTATGGAGCAATACTCTAACTTTCGGCGTGTACGAGTCTTGTACAGTGTAAGTTTAGCGCCTGTTAGGGTAAAGAATTTAATAAGCAATGCATTTTTTTTCTTAGTTTTAGTGACGGTATATTGTACATTTTCGGCGTAGTTAAGGCTGTGGGAATAGTGAAGCCCTAGGTTTCCTACCTGTTTACCATGTTAGCGGTCGGATATATATATCACATTTGTGTGAAATGGTATTAATTTTTTCGACGGATAAACTCCTTTCATGGTGCAACACCATCTTTCTAGTATGTGCAGGTCTGTTTGTTCATTTCCAACCGTGGACCCGTGGTTTCAGGGATCAAATGTATACACAACTTTCATACCCTTGGCAAACATGTAGGGCCTACCTTAGACAATACTGTCAAAAATGCCATTTATGTACGTCAATAAGAGAAGTAGTCCCAGAACACTGACTTTAATGACACCACATGTTACGGTGGCGCGATAGAATGTCTGATTACCTATTTTGACTACTAGAAAGTCAGAAGATCATCCGCACATTGTACCGACGCTTCGCTGCCACGCGACCACCACCACCAGTCGCGGGTGGGCTGCGTATACCGCGAGGACGCCCGCCTCTACGCGGATTCGAACCGGTGACCTAAAGGTTGCAAGTCAGGTGTGCAATCCTTTCGGCTACCGGTCGACTACTTGGGTTCTGTCGGTACGTTTTCAAGAGAACCAGTAAACTATAGGGTCGGCAATGTCATGCGCTGCTAGTGTCGTCAAAAGTCTCATCATCATCAACAGCAGTACATCAGCTATTTGAACTGATGCTTCGCTGCCATACAACCATGATGACCTATGAAATAAAGAATAAGAAGAGGCAGAGAAGGGGGACTTACCTGAAAACCTTAATGCCCTAAGCTAACATTCAGGGTCAAGGCGCCTACACCTTGTGTAGACAACATACCGTCACAAACAGCTGGCTATCGTGCAAAGATAAGGCGGCATCGGCGAGACAGCTTCCTTGCGGCTTACACTGCCACGCGTCATAATCAGCCATTACCCTGCAGGTAGCTCAGCACCAAACATACTTTAAACAGGCAATCCGATTAGAAGACGGCAGCAGACGCGCCACTGGTGTCTACTGCGAGCCATGTCCTGCAAAGTCTCGAGCCAAGCACAAGGCGAGTCACGGGGACTCCAACCCGGAAGGCGAGACGGACCAACGGCACCCAGTTTGGTTGTCAGTGACTTCATTTCTCGCTGCCAAGTCAACTTCTGTCCACCTCGAGCCTTGCGCCATCCTTCACCTGGTAGACTGAACAAGGCGCTCCTAGGTAGGCGGTGACCAGGCATACGTAGTACGTCCCCAATCCAATGCGACTTATTCGGTGCTATCTGTTGTTCTAGGGAGCTAGCATGATTATCACCACCTAGTGGTCGCCTTTGCACATCATCGTTGCGGACACGCTGGTGCCATCCGACAGCAGTAATGCTTCGCAGACAACGATGATCAATACTTCAAGGCGCCTCAGATTTCCAGACCGAACGGGCCAAGTCTCACTACCATACAGCAAAACGGCCCTTACTGTGGTCTTGTTTACACGGCCTTTCAGGCGGATGGAAACTCCCTTCTATCGCCAGAGATGCCGCACGTTCAAGAAGGCAGCTCTAGCCTTTGCAATGCGTGAGTTGACGACAGTTTCTATGCGCCCATCATTGCTGATGCATCTGCCAAGATAAGTCAAAAATCTACCATGATGCACTTGGTGAAAACCATTTGCATGTCGAAGTATACGATAATGTGAGCTTTACCTCCATTGACTGAGCTTGTGATGTTGTTTAGGAGGTCTAGTTGGCAAATATGACATGAACGTTGTTTAATAAAGCCCTGTTGTGATTGGCTGATTAGCTTCCTTGATATTAGAAGCTGAGTTGTCCTAGCCTTTATACGACTCTCCATAACTTTAAGCATGATGGCTGATCGAGCGACAATTTGCAACATCTCGTTTTGAGTTTTTTATATCTTGGTACAACATCAGCGTGTTTCTATTGAGGCTTGTATTGACAAGGTCGGCACGTTTTGTAAAACAGTAGGGATATCGGGACCTCCGTTTTTTAACAAAGTTGACAGAGTACCATCAGCATCGCCATAAAAGAACGGCTTTATGGCGCTGAGTTTTTTCCTTATTTCTGCAATAGGAAAATCTCCTGTCCACAATGTGCCGTCTATAGGCTGTTTTGACGGTGTGGTGTGCTGTTCACTTGTATTTCTGTGGAAGGATAGACAAATACCGGTTGAAGAGATTCTTGGTGACAACAGTATCATCCGTTGACGTGGAAACTGACAGTGCAATGGACAGGATGCAGTCGTTCCTCCATCCTTCTTTTCTCCTGAGAAGTTTTATAAGCTCCTTCGGCTAATTTGAGTCTATGTGAGCTCGATGTGCTTCATAACACTTTATCTCAGCTCGTCTAGATTCTATCTCGTAGTTTATTATGATGTATTGTGGTGGAGGCATGGAATTTCGTGTAAATGCTGATCAGTTTTCTGATTTTCCGTTTAGCGAGAGTGCTGGTACGAGTGTTTGCAGTAGTGTTAGAATGTTTCGTCAACAAAACTGGTGCAATACTATCTAAACATCAATTGCCCTTAAAATGAAAGATATCAGCAGCAACTTCTGGGTCGCATGTGTTCAAAGAATCTATCCCACGACTATGACCTTATATTAGCCTT